GGTCCTACACAGATGACAACAAGGAAATGAGTGAGCTACTCAAGTCCCAATATGACTCAGTTTTTAGCAAGCCGCTAACCAGACTGAGAGTCGAAGATCAAAATGAATTTTTTATGAGAGAGCCCAAAATTTGATTAACACAAGCCTATCCGATGTTATCCTGACGCAAATGACTTCGAACAGGCGATAAATGACATGCCCATGCACTCTGCCCCAGGGCCAGACTCATGGAACTCTGTGTTCATCAAGAACTGCAAGAAGCCCCTATCACGAGCCTTTTCCATCCTATGGAGAGGGAGCATGGACACGGGGGTCGTCCACAGTTACTAAAAACAACAGACATAGCCCCACTCCACAAAGGGGGCAGTAAAGCAACAGCAAAGAACTACAGACCAATAGCACTAACATCCCATATCATAAAAATCTTTGAAAGGGTCCTAAGAAGCAAGATCACCACCCATCTAGAAACCCATCAGTTACACAACCCAGGGCAACAGGGGTTTAGAACAGGTCGCTCCTGTCTGTCTCAACTATTGGACCACTACGACAAGGTCCTAAATGCACTAGAAGACAAAAAGAATGCAGATGTAATATATACAGACTTTGCAAAAGCCTTCGACAAGTGTGACCATGGCGTAATAGCGCACAAAATGCGTGCTAAAGGAATAACAGGAAAAGTCGGTCGATGGATCTATAATTTCCTCACTAACAGAACACAGAGAGTAGTCGTCAACAGAGTAAAGTCCGAGGCAGCTACGGTGAAAAGCTCTGTTCCACAAGGCACAGTACTCGCTCCCATCTTGTTCCTCATCCTTATATCCGACATAGACAAGGATGTCAGCCACAGCACCGTGTCTTCCTTTGCAGATGACACCCGAATCTGCATGACAGTGTCTTCCATTGCAGACACTGCAAAGCTCCAGGCAGACATCAACCAAATCTTTCAGTGGGCTGCAGAAAACAATATGAAGTTCAACGATGAGAAATTTTCAATTACTCAGATATGGTAAACATGAGGAAATTAAATCTTCATCAGAGTACAAAACAAATTCTGGCCACAAAATAGAGCGAAACACCAACGTCAAAGACCTGGGATGATCATGTCGGAGGATCTCACCTTCAAGGACCATAACATTGTATCAATCGCATCTGCTAGAAAAATGACAGGATGGATAATGAGAACCTTCAAAACTAGGGAGGCCAAGCCCATGATGACACTCTTCAGGTCACTTGTTCTATCTAGGCTGGAATATTGCTGCACACTAACAGCACCTTTCAAGGCAGGTGAAATTGCCGACCTAGAAAATGTACAGAGAACTTTCACGGCGCGCATAACGGAGATAAAACACCTCAATTATTGGGAGCGCTTGAGGTTCCTAAACCTGTATTCCCTGGAACGCAGGAGGGAGAGATACATGATTATATACACCTGGAAAATCCTAGAGGGACTAGTACCGAACTTGCACACGAAAATCACCCACTACGAAAGCAAAAGACTTGGCAGACGATGCACCATCCCCCCAATGAAAAGCAGGGGTGTCACTAGCACGTTAAGAGACCATACAATAAGTGTCAGGGGCCCGAGACTGTTCAACTGCCTCCCAGCACACATAAGGGGGATTACCAACAGACCCCTGGCAGTCTTCAAGCTGGCACTGGACAAGCACCTAAAGTCAGTTCCGGATCAGCCGGGCTGTGGCTCGTATGTTGGTTTGCGTGCAGCCAGCAGCAACAGCCTGGTTGATCAGGCTCTGATCCACCAGGAGGCCTGGTCTCAGACCGGGCCGCGGGGGCGTTGACCCCCGGAACTCTCTCCAGGTAAACTCCAGGTAAACACGCCAGGCCAGGAGCTATGAGTCGACCCCTGTAACCACAATTAGGTGAGTCCATCTGCGCATTACGTACGTGGTGTACACATGCACATACATGCGTGGGCACGTACATATACCCTTATTGCATTACAGTTTTAAGAGCACTCTGCACTATTCCTTTGGCGTGCACTGTGGTAGAGGGAGCTGGGTTTACGACACACAGGGATACCTTTCTCTGATAATGTTTAAATACCATCTACTTAACACAGCTTCCCGAGACAAGAATCTTATATATCAGTAACTAGTAATGTTAGTTATGATTAACGGGGTTTAAATCCTATCTACTACACGAGGGTCATTAAGGCTGCAAGTCACTTGTTCATCACTAGTGAATAATGCTTTAATACCGAAAATAGTGATTAGTGTAGACTATCAGTGTATTTACACTGAGATATACACCTCTCAGTATATATATATACTGAGATACATACATCTCTCAGTGTATATACACTGAGAGACATACATCTCAGTGTATATACACTGAGAGACATACATCCCAGTGTATATACACTGAGAGACATACATCTCAGTGTATATACACTGAGGACATACATCCCATTTTATTACACTGAGAGACATACAAACTCGTGTAATTACACTGAGAGACATACACTCAGCGTATATACACTGAAGACATACATCCCATGTATATACACGAGAGACATACATCTCAGTGTATATACACGGGAGAGACTACATCTCAGTGTATATACCTGAGAGACATACATCCTATGTATATACACTGAGAGATATACATCTCGTGTATATACACTGAGAGACATACATCTAAAATGTATAAAACACTGAGAGACATACACCTCAGTGAAATATACATTGATACATAACTCAGTGTATATACACTATAGACCATACATCTCAAGTATAACACTGAGAGACTTACATCTCAGTGTATATACACTGAGAGACATACACCTCAATGTATATACACTGAGAGACATACATCTCAGGGGTATATTACACTGAGAAAACCCATGCCTCTCAGTGTAATACACTGAAACAACACCTCAGTGTTTTATACACCGAGAGACATACATCTCAGTGTATATACACTGAAGACATACACCTCAGTGTATATACACTGAGAGACATACACCTCAGTGTAAAATACACTGAGAGACATACATCTCAGTGTATATTACACTGAGAGACAATACATCTCAGTGATATACACTAAGACATACATCTCAGTGTATATACACTGAAAAACAAACACCTCAGTGTACATACACTGAGAGACATACACCCTCAGTGTAATAACACTGAGAGACATACTTTCAGTGTATATACACTGAAGACTACATCCAGTGTATATACACTGAGAGACATTACATCTCAGTGTAAAACACGAGAGACATACATCTCAGTGAAATATACACTGAGAGACATACATCTCAGTGTATATACACTGAGAGATATACATCTCATTATATACACGGAGACATACACTCAGTGTAAAATACACTGAGAGACATACACCTCAGTGTATATAACACTGAGAGACATTACATCTCGTGTATATACACTGAGAACATAAAACCTCAGGGTATATACACTGAGAGACATACATCTCAGTGTATATACACTGAGAGACATACACCTCAGTGTATATACACTGAGAGACATACACCTCAGTGTATATACACTGAGAGACATACATCTCAGTGTATATACACTGAGAGACATACACCTCAGTACATATACGCTGAGAGACATACACCTCAGTGTATTACACTGAGAGACATACATCTCAGTGTATATACACTGAAAACATACACCACAGTGAAATATACACGAGAGACATACACCTCAGTGTATATACACTGAGAGACTACATCTCAGTGTATATAACTGAGAGACATCAGCTCAGTGTATATACACTGAGAGACATACACCTCATTGTATAAACCCCTGAGAGACATACTTTCCCCAGTGTATATACACTGAGAGACATACCCTCAGTGTATATAACACTGAGAGAAATACACCTCAGTGATATACACTGAGAGACATCCCACCACAGTGTATATACACTGAGAGACATACATCTCATGTAAATACACTGAGGGGACATACATCTCAGTTGTATATACACTGAGAGACATACACCTCCGTGTGTATACACTGAGACATACACCTCAGTGAAATAACACTGAGAAACATACACCTCAATGTATATACACTGAGAGACATAACCTCAGTGTATATACACTGAGAGACATACACCTCAGTACATATACGCTGAGAGACATACACCTCAGTGTTATACACTGAGAGACATACACTCAGTGTATATACAACTGAGAGACATACACCTCAGTGTATATACACTGAGAAACATACACCTCAGTGTATATACACTGAGACATACATCTCATTGTATATACACTGAGAGACATACATCTCAGTGTATATACACTGAGATGTATGTCTCTCGGTGTATATACAATGAGATGTATGTCTCTCAGTGTATATACACGAGGATGTATATCTCTCAGTGTATATCAACTGATATGTATGTCTCTCAGTGTAATTACACTAGGTGTATGTCTCTTAGTGTATATACACTGAGATGTATGTCTCTCAGTGTATATACACTGAGATGTATGTCTCTCAGTGTATATACACTGAGATGTATGTCTCTCAGTGTATATACACTGAGGTGTATGTCTCTCAGTGTATATACACTGAGAGACACACCTCAGTGTATACCTAGCCTGTGTTTTATTATTAAATTAAATGTTAAATAACAATCGCTGAACTGTTAATAAAGTTAAAATTCGTTGCTTTAGTGTTAATAAAAATGTATTTTATTAGTGTGACCCCTCCCGTGTTTGGTCACATGTTTACCAACTGTGACAGTTGTTTGGTCACATGTTTACCAACTGTGACACTTGTTTGGTCACATATTTACCAACTGTGACATTTGTTTGGTCACATGTTTACCAACTGTGACACTTGTTTGGTCACATGTTTACCAACTGTGACACTTGTTTGGTCACATGTTTACCAACTGTGACACTTGTTTTGTTTACAGTAAACATTACTGATGTAACAGACCTGAGATTAAGCAGAGAAATTTATCAGTAATATGTATGTTTTTACCAGAACCCTGATGATGATGATGTTGCTGGTGTTGTTGTCTGCTGGTGGTGGTGGTGTTGGTGAGGTGGTGTCGGAGGTAGTGGGGGAGGTGTTGAAGACTGCCTCACTCCCTCACTGCTCCCTGATCTTCATATATGATGGTGACACCTCATACCTCACACTCCTCCAGGTGAGAGAGCACACTGGTGTACATGGTACACACACATAACCCAGTTCTTGCCAGTCAACACCTAACCTAGTAAGAACTGTCTCCATCTAGAATAAGGATAAATAATATATCTAGAAACTACAACCTAACATTACCTTCGCTAATTAAGTTATAGACTAGAGTGAATATAGGAGAAATGGCAGAACCGTAACAGACATAGCTCACTGTGATATATAACCTCTCCACCGTAGCTGCACTCTTCAGATGCCTTGATATATAACCTCTCCACCGTAGCTGCACTCTCCGGATGAGAGTAAGACACATGTGCAACATCTGGGTGTCTTACTCTCATCTTGTCGGTATTATATACCATTCGTACACAACTCTCCGGATGCCTTGATATATAACCTCTCCACCGTAGCTGCACTCTCCAGATGCCTTGATATATAACCTCTCCACCGTAGCTGCACTCTCCAGATGCCTTGATATATAACCTCTCCAGCGTAGCTGCACTCTTCAGATGCCTTGATATATAACCTCTCCAGCGTAGCTGCACTCTTCAGATGCCTTGATATATAACCTCTCCACCGTAGCTGCACTCTCCGGATGCCTTGATATATAACCTCTCCACCGTAGCTGCACTCTCCGGATGCCTTGATATATAAACCCCTCCCCGTAGCTGCACTCTCCGGATGCCTTGATATATAACCTCTCCAGCGTAGCTGCACTCCTCCAGATGCCTTGATATATAACCTCTCCAGCGTAGCTGCACTCTTCAGATGCCTTGATATATAACCTCTCCAGCGTAGCTGCACTCTCCGGATGCCTTGATATATAACCTCTCCACCGTAGCTGCACTCTCCGGATGCCTTGATATAAAACCTCCCACCGTTGCCTGCACTCTCCGGATGCCCCTTTATATATAACCTCTCCAGCGTAGCTGCACTCTCCAGATGCCTTGATATATAACCTCTCCAGCGTAGCTGCACTCTCCAGATGCCTTGATATATAACCTCTCCAGCGTAGCTGCACTCTCCAGATGCCTTGATATATAACCTCTCCAGATGCCTTGATATATAACCTCTCCACCGTAGCTGCACTCTCCAGATGCCTTGATATATAACCTCTCCACCGTAGCTGCACTCTCCAGATGCCTTGAAAATATAACCCTCCACCGTAGCTGCACTCTCCCGATGCCCTTTAATATAACCTCTCACCGTAGCTGCACCCCTTCAGATACCTTGATATATAACCTCTCCACCGTAGCTGCACTCTCCAGATGCCTTGATATATAACCTCTCCACCGTAGCTGCACTCTCCAGATGCCTTGATATATAACCTCTCAACCGTAGCTGCACTCTTCAGATGCCTTGATATATAACCTCTCCACCGTAGCTGCACTCTCCAGATGCCTTGATATATAACCTCTCCACCGTAGCTGCACTCTCCAGATGCCTTGATATATAACCTCTCCACCGTAGCTGCACTCTTCAGATGCCTTGATATATAACCTCTCCACCGTAGCTGCACTCTTCAGATGCCTTGATATATAACCTCTCCACCGTAGCTGCACTCTCCAGATGCCTTGATATATAACCTCTCCACCGTAGCTGCACTCTTCAGATCCCTTGATATATAACCTCTCCAGCGTAGCTGCACTCTCCAGATGCCTTGATATATAACCTCTCCACCGTAGCTGCACTCTTCAATGCCTTGATATATAACCCTCCACCGTAGCTGCACTCTACAGATGCCTTGATATAAACCTCTCCACCGTAGCTGCACTCTCCAGATACCTTTATTAATAAACCTCTCCAGCGTAGCTGCACTCTCCAGATGCTTGATATATAACCTCTCCACCGTAGCTGCACTCTCCGGAGCCTTGGATATAACCTCTCCACCGAGCTGCACTCTCCAGATACCTTGATATATAAACCCTCCACCGTACTGCACCTCCCGATGCCTTGATAAAAAAACCTCTCCACCGTACTCACTCTCCGGGTGCTTGATATATAACCTCTCCACCGTAGCTGCACTCTACAGATGCCTTGATATATAACCTCTCCACCGTAGCTGCACTCTCCAGATGCCTTGATATATAACCTCTCCACCGTAGCTGCACTCTCCCATGCCTTGATATATAACCTCTCCACCGTAGTGCACCTCCGGATGCCTTGATATATAACCTCTCCACCGTAGCTGCACTCTACAGATGCCTTGATATATAACCTCTCCACCGTAGCTGCACTCTCCAGATACCTTGATATATAACCTCTCCACCGTAGCTGCACTCATCCAGATACCTTGATATTAAAACCTCTCCACCCCGTACTGCAACTCTCCAATAAACCCTTTATATAAACCTATCCACCGTAGCTGCAACTCTCCAGATAAACCCTTGATATATAATCTCTCCACCGTAGCTGCACTCTCCGGATGCCTTGATATATAACCTCTCCACCGTAGCTGCACTCTACAGATGCCTTGATATATAACCTCTCCACCGAGCTGCACTCTCCAGATGCTTGAATTAACCTCTCCACCGTAGCTGCACTCTCCAGATACCTTGATATATAACCTCTCCACCGTAGCTGCACTCTCCAGATACCTTGATATATAACCTCTCCACCGTAGCTGCACTCTCCGGATGCCTTGATATATAACCTCTCCACCGTAGCTGCACTCTACAGATGCCTTGATATATAACCTCTCCACCGTAGCTGCACTCTCCAGATGCCTTGATATATAACCTCTCCACCGTAGCTGCACTCTCCAGATACCTTGATATATAACCTCTCCACCGTAGCTGCACTCTCCAGATACCTTGATATATAACCTCTCCACCGTAGCTGCACTCTCCAGATACCTTGATATATAACCTCTCCACCGTAGCTGCACTCTCCAGATACCTTGATATATAACCTCTCCACCGTAGCTGCACTCTCCAGATACCTTGATATATAACCTCTCCACCGTAGCTGCACTCTCCAGATACCTTGATATATAACCTCTCCACCGTAGCTCACTCTCCTGATACCTTGATAAAATAACCTCTCCACCGTAGCTGCAAATCTCCCAAAACCTGATATATAACCTCTCCACCGTACTGCACTCCTCCAGATACCTTGATAAAATTTAAACCCCTCCACCGTAGCTGCACTCTCCAGATGCCTTAATATATAACCAACTACTCCGGTCTTGTGATCCCATCTCCTCTACGAGGATTCCCAAGTAGCTTTATGGGCAGAAGTAACATAGATGATGTCATATCGTGTAGAAAAATATAATGAACTTAAATTTAAATTAGATTATCTAAGGTGGATTTTAAGACACTAAGTCGCAGCTGTGTCTCCCAAGGTACGATTTTACTAAAAACCACAATTATATATATATTTTGTATAATTTTACTTGAGAAGTGATTCCTAGACCCATGTGACCACGGCAAGGTATATAAATATATATATATATAATATATTTATATAAAATATATATATATAATATAATATATATATTATATAATATATAAATATATTTATATTTTTATTATCTTTTCCTATCTATCTTTTTTAAGTTTTTGACATTCCATTTATGACTATGGATAAATTAAAAAAAATACTTTCAATCGGGAAATGTTGAGACAATATATCGTTTCGTGTGAATCAGAGTGAGTCAGTGAAGGCAGCCAGGACAGTGTTTGTGTTGGAGGCGTCGTCAGGAAGGCAGCAGGACAACACTACTCTCTTACACATTCTCTCTCGTGCATGCAAGGTAAGATTCCTCTCCTCTACCCTCACATACAACCCAGACGACGTTTCGGTCCATTTAGTCACAATAATCGTGGTCTAATAATCCAGGGAGACTCGTACAACTCGCCTAAGGTTCCTCTCAAAATTGTGGATTATGTGTCAATGCTAACATTGTGTCAATGTTAACATTGTGTCAATGTTAACATTGTGTCAATGTTAACATTGTGTCAATGTTTACATTGTGTCAATGTTAACATTGTGTCAATGTTAACATTGTGTCAATGTTAACACTGTGTCAGTGTTAACATTGTGTCAAAAGTTAACAAATGGTGTCAGTGTTAACATTGTGTCAATGTTAACATTGTGCCAGTGTTAACATTGTGTCAATTTAACATTGTGTCCCGTGTTAACATTGTGTCAGTGTTTACACTGACACATAAAACCACGTGTTATGAAAGTCATTCTTCCACTAATTCCACTTTGCATCTCCGCGCTCATTCATGCAGCAGCAACAACTTGACTGGGAAACGGATAAATAATGCATCCGAGTTTTTCAAAAAAGGGGGTTGGTAATATTTTTGATATCTGTAAAGACAGGTGGACCAGGAGCGGATGTTCCTTAAAGAGTAGAATAAAAAACCTGCTTTATTATTATTATTATTATTATTAAAATTATTATTAATATTATTATTATTATATTTTCTTAAATTCTTGTGAACCTATTATATTAGCTTTATCATTATTAGTATGTTAAAAAGGGAATCTTTAAACATGTAGTTAACCAACCCAAAGATAACCCGACTCCGTCACCTGGCTGGCAAAAGCGCTTGCTCCCACGGGAGGGTCCGGGTTCATTCCCGGCGGGGTGGAAACATTTCGCGCTTTCCTTACAAACTGTTGTCCTGTTCACCTAGAAACAGTAAAATAATGGGTGTTGTCCGACTGTGTGGGTAGCATCCTGGGGAACAAGAAATTTAAAGGGCCCAATGGAAATAAGTTAGTCAGTTCTCGTGACGCACTGACTTCTTGGTTATCCTGGGTGCTAACCCTCCAGGGTTAAAAATCGAACGAAACCTTATCTTATCTTAAACTTAACCCAACGCAATTCTTGACTGTTGTTCTAAGTGGGTATCACTATAACCTGTAGTTCGTGTGTAATTTAGAGAGTAATTATGTTACATTCCTGTCATTCGTGTGTTATCCGAGGCTTTGGATAGCCATATCCCCAATGTTGATATCAGGAATTTGGATCCCCCAGATTCATGTCGTTCGTGTGGTACATTTAGGGGTGATATCCACTTTCCTGTCGTTCGGTGGTATCCAAGGTTGGTTATCCTCAATTCCTGTCGTTTTGTGTGATATCCGAGGCTTTGGGATCCCACAAACCCTTATTCATGTGATATAAAGGCTGGTATCTCTCACATTCTTCTCGTTCCGTGTGGTTTCCCAAAAGGGCTAACTGTCCCCCATTTAAAACCTTTCTTTTCGTGTGAATCGAGGGCTACACTCCCCACATCCCTGTGTTTTGTTTTGGGATCTGAATGGGTTTTTCTCCGTGTCAGCTGCGGGTGTTGTCGTGGGGTGCTTGGGGTGGTACTAGCGACGACCCTGTCTTCCTGGCCACCTTTCGCTAGTTTGGGTGACAAGAGTCGGTCTGCTGGTGTGGGCGACCAAGCTGCTGGTAGTAACCAGAACGCCACTCCTGCAGCTGCAGCGCCTCCTGCACGACTACTGGACCTTCTCCATGATGAACGCCATCTTCCTCGCTCTCCAGACCTCGCCCAAACTCAAGTAAGCTGAAGGACAATAGTCACGCAGCTGGCAAGGCAAAGCCTAAAGGCGAAAATCAAGTTATGGGTCTAGGAAAGAGCTAAAACAGAAGGAATGTAGAGCCAGGAAAGAGGAAGTATTTAGGCCTTATGTGAAGAGGGCGAAGGTAGCTCTAATTTCTTGGGTTAAAAATCCTTCACAAGCATCTAGGGATCCCATATGAAGCGGCCAAAGTTGAAGGAGGATAGAGACCGGCTGGAGAGATTAATGAAATTGTCTGTTAGACTGCTGCTCAAGGTGTAGCCCAGGGACTAGGTGAAAGTATACTGCATGTTTTTAAAGAAAACATGAAATACAAAACAATTGTACTAGACATTATGAAGGACGTTTTACAGAATGACCAAAATATGGTTCAAGATGTTAGTGGAATGTACGGGAGAGAATGTGCTGCGTCAGAGAGGTGAAAGTTCTTAAGGTTTTAGGAGAGAGTACACTTCTCATCCTTGGTCATGTCTCCTTGCTACAGGTGTGAGGCTCATGTCTACCTGCCCTACAGTCCAGCTGGTGCTCAGGTGGTGAAGGTGGCCTCCTGGACACCTTCAAGAGGTCTCACACTCAACAAAAACAACACACTCTTCCCAGAGAAGTATGAAGAGTAAGTCAGTGTCCACGAATGATACATGACGTTAGCAGAAAATATTATCTGAATAACGAAACAGAACCAATGGGTATTTCTGCTTCGTTACTTAATAACGAAGACAAGAACTTCACAGCACCAGTTCTGGTCAGATCTATGTTATTACAGACTCACCTTCGTCAGGTGTTGTTGAGCAACAGTAGTTTTCCAGACAATGAACTTCCACTAGATGTAATATTGGCTTCTTAAATACACTTTATTGTTAATTAAACTTAAGTTGGTTCGCCCCTCCTTCCTTTTCTAATGTATGACTGAAACTCTTCTTCATCGTTTCCCGGGGTCTGATCAATGTGAGGGGTGCCCCTTCCTCCGTACTGGATGGACGTGCAACAGAAAAAGTACTGACGGGGGTTAAATTTCCCCCAAAGAGGGGCAAGACTACCTTGTCGTGGAGGCGCTGGCAGCCCTCAACTTCTCCATAAACGCCCTGCTTACAGGAATGGGAAAGGGTCGGTGTAGAAATTATAATTTAGCACTTTAGTAGAGCTTCGGGTGTCCCGTTTCAGTTTGTAGCACACAAAAAGCCTCTGTGCGTGTAGTAAGGACACATGGTATTTCAGGAATATCCCCTTGATCCCTTTATTTGATGCTTTTAAGTCCCGAAAGTAACTTTAAATTTTCCTTCAGGTGATGCTCGTCTGACGCCCGGGAAACATTCATTTCTCCTGGAAATTACAAACATGCCCCACCTTCAAGACTACGACTACTCCTTTTATCGAGAGGCCCTGGGCTTTAATAGGCTAAACCTTTCCCCAAACCCCGCGGCAAGCCCTACTATCCTTTAGTGGGGAAGTGGGGGCGTCTACCTAGCCTCTCTACCCCGTCCTTTTAATCCTCCTCCCCGGGAATTATTTGTGTAATCCAATTAGAACTATCTTTAAGGTTAAGTAAGGGGGAAAAGTCTATCAACAACGAGGGGCATTTAAAACTGCCCTGTTAACCTGTTCACCCCCAGCAAAATATTATAACCTAAAAAAAGGGGATTAATAACTCTATGTTAAATCACACTGGACACACTTTTTAGTATATAATAATATATATATATAATATATATATTATATATATATTTATATATATATATATAAATAAATAAAAAAATAATAATAATATAATATAATATATAAATGAGACATACACATTTTAGTGTATATATTCTTTTCATTAAGGTGTCCACAAGAAGTACTACTGTTTACTCTGACAGATAGAGTGGTTGAGGTGGGGACGGGAGTCTGGAGAGAGGAAGTGGAGTGGTAAGATTGTTCTGGAGTTGGTGGTGGGGGTGTTGTTGGGACAGGCTTACTCCAGAGGTCTTCCCAGCACCAGTTCAACAAGGCTGTTGGTGGCAGCATGGCTGGTATTCGCCTTCATCTTGGGTACAGCTTATCGTGGCAATCTCACTGCCTTTCTGACCGTGCCCAAATACCCAGCCAGACCAGAGAACGTGGAGCAACTTGTTGCTAGTGGAGCCAGGTAGGTTGTGAGTGGATGTGTAAGAATGAGCTCCCGTACCCACGAGTTCCTTCATAACAATCCTTCTGTTCCAATGAACAACACATAAACCCATCTTTTTCTTAACAACGAACAATCTGGTCTACTAAACAACCATTAATTAAATCCCTAACTTCTTGTCATAAGGGTAACGATGCCCCCAGACGCCGTGGACTTCTACGACAGCTTCAAGACCTCCGACTCGCCCGTCTTGAAGACCCTGAGCGAGAGAGTTGACTTCGTTCCAAACCACGAAGTGGGAATGAGACAGTCGCTGGAGATGAAGTGAGTGTTATATATTTTCTTTCCATTTAAAAGTCATCCAGGGTAATTTATTTTCAAGGTTTAATGTCACTCAAAACGCCATTTTGAGGGGAATTTAAGACCAGCTGAAGAGTTTAAATGTTTGTGTTGCGTTTTATCAACTACTTTTGTAGTATCTTAGATCCAAAATTATCATTTTTGGGGGGGATACGATTTTATGATAAGTCATCCCTTCCTCTGTACGTAGTTTTAGTACACGTACGTGGACGCCCTGTTTAATGCACTATCGCCCGCTCTTCCGCCCGTTCGTAGCAAGGCGTACCTATACGAGAGGTTGCACATGGAGCAGTTGATCAGTGAATACTTCACGGACGCCTCGGGGACTACCAGACTGTACGTGGCTCGTCAGAACATCATGCCCGGATACTGTGCTTATCCCTTGATTAGGGACGCTCCCTTCAAGCACACCCTTGACCGTTATATACTGGCTCTCCACGACGTAAGTACGACTCTCCAAGAGATAAGTACTACTCTCCAAGAAGTACGACTCTCCGAGAGGTAAGTACGACTCTGCGAGATCTAAATACAACTCTACAAGAGGTAAGTACGACTCTCCAAGAAGTACGACTCTCCGAGAGGTAAGTGCGACTCTGCAAGATCTAAGTACAACTCTACAAGAGGTAAGTACGACTCTCCGAGAGGTAAGTACTACTCTCCAAGACGTAGTACGACCATATTTCTTTAAAGTAATGTTAAACTTTCACTACAGAAAGGAGGACCTACTTTCTCTGGTTAGACTCCTGATTTTTACCTATTCAGAGTTTCCCAATTTTGTTAATCTTCAATGATGAGATAGATGCTGCAGAGTGATGGACTGACTCTTGCTGACACATGCTGCTGACACATGCTGCTGATAGTTGCTGATTTAGTCATTTCAGTGAGGTGACAGCCTTTTATAACCTCTTAATATAAATATTTTTCAGGCTGGTCTTATCAACAAGTGGACGTCTGACGCACGGGAGAAGGCGAGGCTGGAGGCTCTGCAGAAGATGAAGGAGAAGCATGTGGGAGATGTGCAGCATCTGGGAGGTGGAGTCTTGGACGTCCCTGCTAGGGCCACGATGGCCCTGACTCTGGTCCACCTTCAGGGGCCTCTCTTCCTGCTGTTGCTAGGTCTCCTCATCTCAGCAGCATCCTTCATTCTGGAGGTGTTGCTGGGTGCTTGTTGCTAGGCACCAACTAAGGTTGGTGACCATAGTGACCTTGATGCTGATGAGGGGCTCTTGATCTGAGGCATTAAAGTTGCTCTCCATCCCTGGGACAAGACCCGATTACCTTCTATTCCACAAGCTCTAAATATAATAATAATAATAATAATAATAATAATAATAATAATAATAATAATAATAATAATAATAATAGTCATACAACTTCACTAAAACGAAAATAAATCAGTACTTATGATGTTAATTTTGTTTTATTTTGTACCTATAGTGAGAGAAAGAAAGAGAGAGAGTATTAAGCCTCATTATTTACAAATGTCACCTCTACTGACTACGTACAGAGACACCTGAGTGACATTACTGCTGCTGGTATTCCAGGTACCTATCCCGGAGCGACCAATCCCAGCTCACGATCCTCACCAAGCCATCCAATGGTCTCTCTCCTATCCCTCTTCACTAGCCAATCACCACACACACCCAACACAACACCTAACGTTGAAACACAGCGCATGCGCCTTCACAACAACGTCAAAACTCATTGCCCAGTCTTGCTCAATGCATTCCATCTCAACTTGTTCCAGGGCAAGTACTTCTTACTTTATTCGGTCTATCCATCAACCTTCGCAATGGCTGGGTTGTTATGCTCTTCAGTCTCGTCTGAGGGTCACAGAGGGTTAAGTTCCTTACGGAGGATCGAGCCTTCAGCTGTTCACAAGCAAATTTTTGACCACGACCTCAAATTTCGAAACATTGTTCACTTTGCAACCTTAAATAGTATCTGCACCTACTTACCTCCTCAACAAAAAGATACCTGGTCCTGATTCATCAGTAACTTTTCAGCTGGGGGGTCCGCGACCCCTGGCTGGGGGGTCCGCGACACCTGGCTTGTAGGTCCGAGACCCCTGGCTGGGGGGTCCGCGGCACCTGGCTTGTAGTGGCCCTGCTGGCCACCCCTGGCTTGTAGGTCCGCGACCCCTGGCTGGGGGTCCGCGACCCCTGGCTTGTAGGTCCGAGACCCCTGGCTGGGGGGTCCGCGACCCCTGGCTTGTAGGTCCGCGACCCCTGGCTGGGGGGTCCGCGACCCCTGGCTGGGGGTCCGCGACCCCTGGCTTGTAGGTCCGTGACCCCTGGCTGGTGGTCCGCGACCCCTGGCTGGGGGGTCCGCGACCCCTGGCTGGGGGTCCGTGACCCCTGGCTGGGGGGTCCGCGACCCCTGGCTGGGGGGTCCGCGACCCCTGGCTTGTAGGTCCGCGACCCCTGGCTTGGGGGTCCGCGACCCCTGGCTTGTAGGTCCGCGACCCCTGGCTGGGGGTCCGCGACCCCTGGCTGGGGGTCCGCGACCCCTGGAATATTTTAACCCACCTCACATTCTTTAATCATTCACAAAATAATTACAATATTTTCAGTATTTTTACGTTGCATTTACAACGTTTAAAATAATTTATAAGTATTCTCAAGCACGTATCATCATCAATAATAATAATAATAATAATAATTATAACAATAATTCCTTCCAGAGACGTGTACAAATAATAACGGGTAACTGGAGGATAATAACAGCAAACAGAAGAATAACGGCAGGAATAACAACAGTACCAACAGTGTGCACTAAGAATAACAGGAAACAAAACAGTTCCAACAGGAAGAAGGAATACCAGAAGAGGAAAACGGTAATGCCAACAGGAAGATACGAATAAAAACAGGAAGAATACCGAAAGAAAATAACAACAGGAAGGAGAATAACGGGAAAACGGAATAAAAACGGGAAGAAAAGAATAAGAAAACAGGGATAGTGAAACAACAGAAAAGTAGAAAAAAACAGGAAGGTAATAGAATATCAACAGGAGACGCAATAACAGGAGCCACAACAGTTAAGAGATTCAATGCAAACAGAAGCCCAATACTAAGAGAAACATAATACCAACAGTGAACACAATATCAACAGCGAACAGGACACAATATACAGTAAACACAATACCAAGA